GTCTGGCAGCATCTGTGGAGGAGAAAACAGAGTTTACGTTTTGGGTCCGGTGACCCGAGTTGAGTTCTGAGGAAGGGTCACCAGACCCGAAACGTTAACTCTGTTTTCTCCTCCACAGATGCTGCCAGACCTGCTGAGCTTTTCCAGCAACTATGTTTTTGTTCCTAACATTGCATTTACCTTCCTAACTATGAACTGAACTTGGACTCCTAAATACCTTTGTGGTTCTGATTTCCAAAGCCCTTTCCCATTCAGAAAATAGTCTACGCCTCTATTCTTCTTACCAAACTGCATAACCTCCCACTTTCCCACATTGTATTCCATCTGCCACTCCTTTGCCCACTCTCCTAGCCTGTCAGAATCCTTCTGTAGCCCCTCTGCTTCCTCAGTACTACATGTCCCCCCACCCATTTGTGTCATCTGTAAACTTAGCAACAATGCCCTCAGTTCCTTCATCCAGATCATTAATGTATAACACGAATAGTTGTGGTCCCAATGCTGAACCCTGCGGGACTCCAGCGGTCACTGGCTGCCATCCTGAAAAAGACCCCTTTTATCCCTCTTTCTGCCAATCTTCTATCCATACAAATGCCTTAACCCTAACACAATGGGCTCTTGTCTTATTTAGCAGCTTGCCAATTCCTTGTGGAAATCCAAATAGATCATGTCCACTGGCTGTCCTTGTCTAACTTGCACATTACCTTCCCAGACAATTCTAACCAATTTGTCAAGCGTAACCTTCTCTTGAAGAAGCCGTACTGACTCGGTCCTTTTTACCATGCTCTTCTAAGTATTCTGCAATTTCATTCTTAACAATGGACTCTAAAATCTTACCAATGACCATGATCAGCTAACTGGCCTATAATTTCCTGTTTTCTGTCTCCCTCCCTTCTTAAACAGGGGCTTTACATTAGCTATTTTCCAGTCCTCTGGGACCCTCCCTGACTCCAGTGATTCCTGCAAGATTACCCGATGCCTCCACAATGTCCTCATCTATCTTCTTCAGAACCCTGGTGTGTAGTCAGTTCAGTCCAGGTAATTGATCTACCTTCAGAACTTTCAGTTTCACAAGCACCTTCTGCTTAGTGATGGCCACTACACTCACCTTTGCCCCAAATCTCTTGAAGTTCACCTTTCTACTAGCAATCCTTTTGCCAAACAAGGGCCAGATTTATACAATTAATTGTAGGGCCCTGGGTAGTGTTGTAGAATAGAGAGACCCATGGGTTCAGGTACATAATTCTTTGAAATTTGTGTCACAGGTAGAAAAGGTGGTTAAGAAGGCGTTTAGCATGCTTCGCTTCATTGCTCAAGCCTTTGGGTATAGGAGTTGGGATATCATCTTGAGGTTGTACAGCATGTTGATGAGGCCTCTTCTGAAGTAGTGTGTGCAGTTTTGGTCACCCAGTTGTGGGAAGGATATTATTAAATGGGAGAGGGTTCAGACAAGATTTACCAGAATGTTGCTGGGATTGGAGGGTTTAAGTTATAAAAATAGGCTGGATAGGCTAGAATTTTTTTTACTGGAGCATAGGTGGTTGAGAGGGTGATCTTATAGAAGTTCATAAAATCACGTGTAATCCTAAGGTGATTAGCAAAGGTCTTTTCCCTAAGGTGGGGGAATTCAAAACTATGGGGCATATCTTTAAGGTGAGAGGATAAAAATTTGAAAAGGATATGAGGGACAACTTTTTTACACGGAGAGTGGTTAGTGTGTGGAATGAACTGTCAGAGGAAGTGGTGGATGCAGGTACAATTGCAACATTTGAAAGATATTTGAATAAGTACAAAAGGAAAGGTTTGGAAGGATGCAGGCCAAACACAGGCAGGTGGGACTAGTTTAATTTGGAAATATGGTCATGTTGGGCTAATTGGACCAAAGGATCTGTCTCCATGCTGTGTGACTCTATGACTATAGCACCTTCACCATTTATTTCACTTGCTGCTTACTTTTCTAACAGCATAAAGCCCACCATTTTTCCAGCTCCTTCTGTTCTGAAGAGGAGTCCTATATTCGGCTCGACGAGTTAACTTTGCTTTTCTCTCCACAGAGGCTGCAAGATCTGCTGAGTGTCTCAAGCACTTCCTGCTTTTATTATAGGAACTTAATGACGAGTTATTAGATAAGTGACAAATTAAATGCTGCTGTTGATAGGCACCAAACATGCTAATAGGCCAGCAAAATCACTCCCCTTCTTTACAAATACGGCTACCCAAGAAGGAAGACATGATCCTCTTTTAATGTCATCTTCAAAAGGTAGCATGGAAGCATTTGGGCTTGACAGGATAATACAAAACCCCTTAGTTTCAGAATTGCCATCTGCAGTATAAGCGCACACTTCAGTTGTAAAGTGCTCCAGTTGCCATATTGATAGAGCATTCCATGCATATCATTGTCTGTATAAAGAGCAAGTGGATCGTGATTTTTTTTTCATTTGATATAAGCAGTGTCCCTTAATTTTTTTAACTCAATGTTCCAGCCTTTGTCCACATTTAACTGTGTGCAACTAAACACAACATTAAATGGCAAGAACAAGAGACAACACAGTATGGAGCTGGAGGAACACAGCAAGGCAGGCAGCATCCCTCCCCCTCCCCATTTCTGAAGAACGGTCCTGACCTGAAACATCAACTTTCCTGCTCCTCTGATGTTGCCTGGCCTGCTGTGTTCCTCCAGCTCCATACTGTTTTGTCTCTGACTCCAGCATCTGCAGTTCTCACTATCATTAAATGGCAAGGAGTACACTTTATTCAGTACAACAGCACTACTTAAAGACATTATTAATTACTGATAGCCTATAGTACAGAACCTAAGTATAGCTGAATAAAGATACATTTTATCAAAGTTATTTGTCTTGCATTTGTCAGGACAATTTGCTAGAAATACCGAATACAGAGAAAACATTTATACTGTATGAAAGAAGAGTGCTGATTGGTTAGCAAGGGGACTTTAACTGGTAGAGATATTATCATGGAGATTGCATCAGTTAGTTGATTACTGATAGTAAACTGCCAAGCTTTGTAAAAATTTCAATCAGGCAGGTTGATTCTGATTGGTTAGGGATTTACCCTGAGAAATGAACCAATGAATGGCTGTCTTCTATTTTCTTGGCACAGACGCTGCAAGCCAAACTGACAATCATAAATTGGTTGTTGATGTAATCCTTCACACGTTTGCGATTATTTAGCAAATGTTAGCCAATTGCAGAATTATATTTAATGTAGCCATTATACAAGAGAATGGCTTCCATCTTCCATATTGTAACATCAAGCTTCCACAATTAATAAATGGAATAATAGCTACCACAATTTGGATCATTCCTTTTTAGGTATCATGTAAATTCATGAAAGAGCCTAAAGCCGTCACATTTGCTCCTAAAAAGTGCCCTGTCTATCTCAGATTAAAGAGTAAAGTATTTCAAAGATTTGAACAAAAGATGGATCTAGCTGTTTTATGATGCTACTATACAGCAACAATTTGAGTAGTGTTTGCCCACTATCGGGATACTACCATCAAGCTAAAACAATATCTATCAAACAATTGAGTACTGTTGTATATGAATTTCAGCACTAGTGTAATACCAAGTACATAGTTGTACATGCCAAAGACTTACAAAAGTCAAAAGTCAAAATATCAAAAGCGTATCTGTTTGGTTGCTCACACAGGCAAGATACTGATTGTGTACCCCGCACTGTGGAGAGAAAGCAGAGTTAACGTTTTGAGTCTGATGACTCTTCATAAGAACTGATAGCAGCTATGAAAAATGGTATTTATGCTGCAGGTAGGTGGAGATGTAGCACAGAGAGAGATATATTAAGGGGCTAGGTAAACAAGAAGATTACGGATGGCAGACCAGGACAGAAGAGAAGCTGAATGAGTGATAATGAGAGTGGAGGTTAGCAGAAAATATGTAGTCTGTGCTGAAAACAAACCAGGTAATGTAATAATTGAGATAGTAGGAACTGCAGATGCTGGAAAATCTGAGATAACAAGGTGCAGAGCTGGATGAACACAGCAGGCCAAGCAGCATCATAGGAGCAGGAAGGCTGACGTTTCGGGCCTAGACCCTTCATCAGAAATGGGGGAGGAGAAGGGGGTTCTGAAATAAATAGGGAGAGAGGGGGAGGCGGATAGAAGATGCTGTGATTGGA